AGTACTTTAGCCTCAGCCTGTGTCTGTGGCTCCTGGTGGCGGCCGTCCTCCAGAAGGGCAAAGGTGGCTAAGTTGATACAGTCTCGAAAAAGGTGCTGCCCGAATGTAGTTGCACTTCGAAATTGGTTGACCCCTCCTCCGTTGGCGTGAATCCTCTGCAGAGAGCAGCAATCTGCAAATGTTGTGTAGCCAAATTCTACACAGCCTGGTGCTGTGATGCTGTTGAGCAGTTGGCACCCTCGGAAGGTGTTATCCGCAAATCGCACCACAGTACTGGGCATCCTGACCACTCGAAGATGTCGGCAGCTTTGCCAGGCTTCAGCTCCAATTGCGTTTGTGCCTGCTTCGACACTGACATGGCGTGGCACAGCGATAAAAGCACCCGCGGGAACGATTCCTGCCAGGTTTGTTGGAACTTGGACTGCTTGTGGGATGTCACGATATGGGCATCCGTCAAAACTTTCCTTCGAATGGAGGAAAGCGAGGCAGTCCCTAAGCACGATGGTAAACTGCGTGTTTGTTTGCAACACCTCCCATATCGGATCTTCGAGATACGTTTGCATTGTGGGATGTACGAAGTCCAACGTGCATCCAAAGACATCGAGGTCAGTTACAGAGGCTAGATAGTCCACTACGTGGTCTTCTAGGTCCTCCAGTCTGTCATATTTGGCAACGCTCGTGGTCATTTCCACCACCTGGATGAGTCCTGGCTGGAGGCACTAGGGGTCGCCATGGGGTTTGACTTGTACGAGATCTCGTGGTTTGAGCCAGGATGTCACTGCCACGAAACAGTCCTAATGTCCTGCCCGTCCAGGTGCAAAGGGTCTGGTATCTACCTGACTGCTCAAGTGCCACATGTGAAACCACCTAACTGATGTATATGGACACGATGAACATGAGATCGGCGGGGTTGAACTTCTTTTGCCCAGGACAAGTGCTGAGGCACTCACCGAGGGTTAGCGCATTGCTAATGAACAAGGGTACCCGGTTAGTAAAGCCCTTTATGGAGCTCTTCGTCGAAGACATCCGAGTACGTATCGTATCGTTTCCTCGTGACTCAATATCTAGATCACGTTTGGAAAAACTGGCGCTGGCTCGTTGAAAAACCAGGCATGGAAGGTTCCCGCCGAGTGCCACACACGGGGCCCTTCTAATGAAATAGGACTCCAAGTGATGGTTTGTACAGATATTTTATCTCTTCTTTCAAGCCTGCTGATGTGTTTGTTTACGTGACACCATTCTTTACATGTACTGCCCTCACGTGCCCTACCTTTCTTCATGGCTTTTACATACGTGACCCTGCTTTTATGTTGCGTGACTATATATTCATGCCCCCAGGCACAAAATCTGGGATTCATATGTTAAGCATTCGTTGGGTTTTTTCAACTCATAGCCTTTTGTGCATATATAACTTTGGCTCAAGACTTGAGCACTGGCTCAAGGTGCGCGTAGAAGTGGTGCGAGTGCTTTCGCTTTGCTTGTGAACTGTTGCTCGTGCTTTCGCTTTGTGTTTAGAACGTTTGTAATCTACTTACTTATAAGTAAGGTAGTAGGTTTTTCAGGCAGGTTTTTGGTTTCGGAGTGCAAGTGTTTGGGCAAGTGTTCCTCACGGAACTTTGTGTTTAGAAACATTTTGGAGCTTTGGAGAGCATAGTTTATGGAACTTACAATGTTTGGACCGAAACTTTGTGAAGAGAAGCCTTGTAGCTTTTGTGGTGTGAATGGCTCTTGAACAGTTTTGTGCATGTTTGAGTGCTTCAAGCTTGACAGTCACAATGTCTCACATGAAATTGCTCACAATGGGAACACCTCACAGCCTCTTGCGCTTGACTTTTGCTCAAGGTGCGCGAGAAAAGCGTGTGAATGCTTTCGCTTTGCTTGTGAGTTGTTGCGCGTGCTCTGTCTTGGGTGTAGGGCGTTTTGTGATCCACCTACCTCAGATAGAAGGTTTTTCACGTGGAACTCAGAGAACGAGCTGAAGGGTCCAGGCAATTGGTTGGTCGCAAGAAGAGGCAAGGCAACAGAAGGAAAGGTGATTTGTCCGTTGGGGTTCTTTTGGGGGGGGCAGTGTTCGCAGTCTCCTCCTCTGCCCTCGACCAAAACATGTTGCAACTGCCGGACTGGGCTCTGCTGCCAAATTGGCCGCTGCTTCGATTTGGGATTCTGTCTTGGAAAGAAAAACTGGCCACACTGACTGGCCGCGCCCCTGAGCTCTGTTGCCCTTCTCTGTGGCCGGGTCATGTCCTCCTTTTGTCCTTCTTTTGTCCTGCTGTTGTGTTTCTCTTGTCCTGCTGTTGTCCTCTGGCCGTGCTGACCAGGTCTGGCCACACTGAATGGCTGCGCCCCTGAACTCTGTGGGCGGGCTCTGTGGCCGGGTTCTGTGACCGGGTCTTGTCCTCCTTTTGTTTTCTCTGGTCCTGCTCTTCTTTTGTTTTCTCTAGCGATGTCGATGCTGACAAAAATCATTGATGAAACAGTTTCCTTTGGGGCGGAAGGTGGGGCGTGCCAAGAAATCATTTTTGACAAATTTTGGTCCAAACGAATTGTTTTGAAACTGTTTGGGGTTTATGCTGGTATTGGGTTTGTTTCATTGGAAAGTTTATGACGTAATGCACACGTGCAGATGCATACTGCCAGTGCAGACAAATGAACTTCATAAATGACTCTCCGCGGGGCACTTAGCGAACGACATAGGAATCAACATATTTTTCCTTGAACATGGTGGCAAGCAATTGACGAACCAAGGAATGAAAAATAACTCTGTGAAACCTGGCTGCAATTTTGGTTTGGGGGGTGGAAGTGGCTTTTGGAACTGTTGGTGGGTGCTGCGGAGCATCAAACCGTATATCGCAACCACCAGCCATGGATGTTCGATGCTCTTTACATGTTAGAGAACATAGCGTATGTCAGCCCTTCGGGTGTGTCTCCGCAGTTGACTCTTGATCTGTTGAACTGCTCCGGGCAGACTACTATGTAAAGATTTGATGCCGTTTGGCTTCTTGACAGCGCGCCAGCATAGTCATGCCATGCCCCAGTGAAAAAATGGCATTGTTCGCATCAATGTACACTGCAAAGATGACAAGTATAGACTGCAAATCCCACGGTCCGTTCAATCCAGTTTTTGAATACGTGCCTGAACCCTACCCACCAGACCATGGACGACTGCGGATCCGGCACTTTGGTGGCAAAAGTTGTGTGCATCCTCACATACGGAGGATGCGCGCTAGATATTTGCATTAATTACGCACTCCTTCTCTTGGACGTGGCGTTTTGCAAATTGTGGCTCACAGTCAGTCACCAACCAACGTACTGTTCAGCCTTTGATTTCGTTCATTGCGGTGATGTTCTACCAAGTGGTATTATGTTTGTTTCTTGGGTGTTCTGGTGTGTCCATTGTGTGGTGCGCTGTCATGGGCTGGTATATCCAGAAGTCCAGATGCCAATTGGCAAGTGCTTCATCGCAAACCCAACTTTCTCCAGAGAGTCAGGCTGTGGTATCGAAGGCGGAAATCATCCTTTTGTTGCTGAATGCATCAGCGCTTATTTACTATGCAATTACCTCAGAGATGATTACAAGTGTGGCTCATGGCTGCGCGCTGTTGCTGGGAATGGGATTGTCACAGTTGGAATCATGTTGTGGATGCTGCTCTGACCAATCAAACGAACGATATGATGGCTTCGCGATGGCCTAAGCCCTAAGCTACATCTGGTGGTCAACCATGTTGAGGATTTGGGGCCTATCAGGATGGCCGTGTGCCAAGAGGTTCTGATTTGCCCAGCGCGGAAATGATGCAGAAAAGGTTGACAGCAGCTGATTCCTTTCCTTGCACAGGCTGTCCAAGGTGCTCCTCCTCCCGGACGAAATGGTAAAAGGGAAACCCCACGAATCAATCCCTTTGGGGGTCTCCCTTTTCCAGTACATGTCTTCCCATGCCTTCCCAGGCCTGTGGCTGATGGGTCTACCCCCCCATGTTTTCCAGACCTTTGATCTGGTCTAGCCGGGTCTACTTGTCCGGTGGGGCGCCTGAGGGGCCACCTTCTGCTGAAAAGAAATCACAAGAAACATGTCGGGTGGAGTTTTTTGCTGTTGAAGATGATGCTGTTTCTGCTGGCAGCTGCAGCGCAACTGCAAGCAACTGTACATACACAGTTCCACAGAATCAGTCAAACATGTTGCACAGGGCAGGGCTTTACGAATGCTTTGTCGCGACAAGACCAGATCTCCAAAATGTTTTGACCAACTTTCTCGCTTCAGTTCGTGTGTTTCACCCAGGCCATGTTGCTCCGTTCCTTGTGTTTGGTGCCACCATCCAGCACATTCCGGTTGAAAAATTGCAGACGAACTCCGTACATGGACGTTTGCTTTCTCTTGCGCCTCATATTGGCTCAAATGCGCAAGAATAATTCACTCAAGTGGAAGACGGCCAGTAGAAAAGGCACGTAACCATGTATCTGCCGCGAGATGTGTCACATCGGTGCAACGACATGTCCGCGCTTTGTGACATTTCGAGGGTCTGCAATTGAAGGTGGAATTAAGACCTGAAAGGCAGCAGTACAGATCATGAACCTTTGCAGATGTATCAAGTGTATCAGATGGGTGTCTCACAGGTGCATCAGATGTAGGAGGTGTCCAAATCCACGATGTTCACGCCACCTGCAGCACATCTCGCCCGTGCTCGAATGCCATCTCGCCCGTGCTCGACCGTGCTATGCGCCATCGATGCGGCGTTGCGAGGTCCGTCCTGCGGCCGCTGGAGAGGTTGGGTCCGAGAGGGATGGGGTATCAACGGGGAAGTGTCAAACGTTGTCAACGCTTTGGAGGGTTTATAAAAACATGAACATGGAAAAGCATGTATATATATAGAACATAGATAACATATAATTCTTTTATCCTTAGCAGAGGTCAATGCACTTGAAGAAGATGCCGATGCCGTTCGACGCATCCCAGGCTCAACAAGCTCCCAGCCTTGAGACTACATCCCAGACATGAATGGAAGTTCACATGACATACCGACCATCAATGGCTCGGTCTACGGTGTGGCTGACAGCCAGGTTTTCAACAAGGACTTTGCGTAAGGTCTGATTCTTTTTTGCACATCTTAGATTTTGATTTGAATCTCTGACATGTCCACTGATCCTGCCGTTGTTCTCAACCATTTTCATGCAACCGTTCAACTGCATGCTTGGCCCCCCAATCTTTTTGTGGTTTCAGAAGCCTTGTCACCTCCTTTGCGAAATACTCACCGGAGGTTCATCGGCGACATTGGGCGAATCGACACTCTGTGTCTCGGACGCCCCTGCCGGTGGCGCTGCAACGAACGCCGATCACTTCGGCTGCTGCGAAGCAGAAGTGGGTCGCTTGGGTCCAGAGTGGTGGACGAAATGGTTTGACGTTCGAAGCGCCATTCGTTCCTTTAAGAATATTTTCTTTGTTCCGATTGACAACGACTTCAAGTATCTTTCAAAGACATCGCTTCTTCTGACTTGTTTTGCTAATTGTGGTTGTGGCGGCAGAAAGCTTGTTTTTGGAATGGGCTGCCTTTATCTGCCTGCCTGCGCTTGTGGGTGTCGGTAGAAATTCTTTCCAGACCTCGGGATTAGCGCAGCGTGGTTCCATTGTAGCACGAGTTCTGTGCTGAAAGTTGTGGGTTTGCTTGGATGAATTCAGCGTGTTTCATCTAACAAGACAAGTACCTCATCACATGCGACGCACACATTGTCACAAGACGGTATATAACAAAAGCAAAGGACGTCGGACATGACCAAAAAATACCACGTTATTTAAGGGGAAACAACGATGGCTCTTTCAGGCATCAACTTTCACTCGTCACTCGTCACCTGTTTGTGCCCCAGTCAACATCACCTGGAAACGTCATGAGAATCTGCTTTTGCTCCCTTGATGTTCCGCTGGACACGCCCCCTTAGATTTTCTTCGTCCTCTTCGTTCCTCTTCGCAGAAAAGGGCTTTCTTTGCTTTTCTTGTCGGCCAGCACGTTGGGTTGTTGGAGCACGAGCCATCCGGCGAGCCATCCGTTTCTCCGGTGTTGGAGAGGTGAAACGGGCCACCTGCGAGGCTCTTGGGTGCATGTCAAACTATGGCTGTTGGGAAATCAAAGAGCACGCTCTTGGTTGCGACCTGGGGAGTATTACCTCGCATAGTGCCAGCATGCGGTTTTCCAAACCCATGGCGTTCACTAGAATCAGCACGAGGCACCAAAGGGTCAATGAGTAGTTGAAGCACACCAATTTCATTTTTACGAACGGGGGAGGCACAGGGAGGCACTGGGAGGCGCGAACCACCCAGACACTGGTCCCTGGGGAACGAACGCCGTTCGGATGCCAACGCGTCAAGGTCGTTGGCATCCTCCTAGGGGCGGCTGTGCCAAAGCGCCGAAGGCGGACGTGAACGGTGAAGTGGATTGATGAAGCTTCAAAACCGCTATCTTCCCTTTTAGTCATTTGGTGACCGAGAAGCTAGAAGTGATCTAAGACATTTTGTCATGCACAAAAGCCATTTGTGTTGGGGAGTGCAGGACACACCATTTGGAAAAGATGTTTTGAGACACTCATGTGTGTCAGGGTGCACCTTTTAGGACCAACCTTTCCTTTCCGAAGGCTGCACACGTCGGGTGCCTCACGGTGCCTAAAAAAAACGTCACGCGAGCCCTTTGGCCCTTTGGAAAACCCTTTTGAGGTTTGGGCTCGTGACAGAACTGGATGGCTTGGATCTGGGAGGCCAAAACCCGCTCCGTCTTAGTCACTTCCCACCTCCTGGAGACGGAGGTTTTTGTCGGAGGACGGCCAGAGCAGTTCGGCGAAGGGACCAGATGATTCACTGGACTGCCCGGGAGATGGTCCAAGTATGGCAGTTTTTTCAGTGGCAAGTCATGGTGGATCATGAAGAATGGCAGATGGTCCAGATGAAGAACGGCCGATTGCCAGACTTTCATGATGACCCTTGAGCTGCCTCCCTTTTAGCATGCTTCATCAAGTGCAGGGGGCGCTACTCATGCGAAGGCTCGTAAACGATGCGGAGAAAGGGCGCACAGAAAAAGCCAAGAAAGGCTGCAGCCATGTTGCTTGCTGTAGATGTACTGTATATTTTATCCGCTTGAGAACAAGCAAGCTGCTTTGTAAGGTTCCGAATCCGGATCTTTGCTGTTGCAGGGCACTCTACGACTTCACTGCTGTGAGCCTAAACTTGCTGGGCACGACAGAAGCAGCGAGTGACGATGCGAAGCAAGTGCAACACTCACTCTTTGACTGAAGAGGATTGAACCGCAGCAGAGCGGGTAGCGCCTTGATTCCAAAGATGCTTGCACCACCGTTGGAAGGACATGTTTCTGCTTCTAGTTTGGCAGGCAGGTACTTTGTAGGATTGGAACTCCATGAAGCTATTTAGACACGCAAAGAAAGGATAACAATACATGGGTTTGTGCCATTTGTCTACTCTGTAAAGTTGAGAGTAGACAGATGGCAATTGATTATTGCTCATGCTGCCAATGACTCATTAGCCTGAGGATCATTATTCATTATTGAACCATTTGTCATTTGTGAGGCTTTTTCGAGTGACAGATTGAACAATATATGTATATACTATGTTCCAGTGACATGAGGACTCTATAAACGACTGCCGCAGGCACCCCCAAACTCATGTCATCTGCCCAACTGCAGGGAAAAAATGAACATCGGCGATAACTAAAATGTACCTATGTCATCTACCATCTGGCACATTTAGCCAATTGTGAGCCAGTGCTGGAGAGGGGGGGAGTACGGAAGGACATGACATAGTTTAACCAGCTAAAAAATGGACATTGATTTTAGACCATGTCATTTGTTTCTAACCATTTTCACCTATCCTGCAAACCCATGTCATCTGCTGCTGTCGATGCTGGAAAGTACCCATGTCATCTGCACATAGTATATATACACGTAGATCTTGAGCTGGATATGGTCGTGTCACCATCATATGTTCTGGTCTGGCACACAACCATTTGTTTCGACCACATTTTCTTCTTCAACCGTTGGAGACTCGAAGCATGGCTCAAGCAAGGACCTCGCAGGAGAAACAAACACTGCAATCATGCCACAGCCTTTCCACCATCGGAGAAAGAAGGGCTTGGTGAATGGACCGGTGAATCGAAGGTGCCACTCTCACCCTCTCCTCCTTCCAGGTCAGCCCTAAATCGTGGTTTGCGCATTACCTGGCCCAGCGCAGGAGGTCAGCAGCCCAGGGGGACCTCGCGAGACGACTCGACCTTTTGGACGTTCGCAGTGCTGAACAGGAGAACCCCGCGAGTGAAATATCACGACTCCTAGAGCACTCCTTGTCCCTTTCGGACTTGAAGAGGCGAAAGTCGAGCAGATGAGTGGGGTAGAAGGTGCCCTGTTGGGGCCCCCCAGGGTGAATTCTGCCAAAGGCGTTTCACTTCTTGAGGCAAAGATGAGCTGATCACTGGTCAGGCGTGAGAAGAGATTCCAGAGCTTGGACGTGCGGTCTGTACCACATGTCCACGGTTTTTGGTGCAGAGTGATGCAGAGACGCGCCCAAGAAGAAGTTCTGTGCTCTTTTTTCCGCACCCTTTGGTGGTTTTTTTTCGATGCAACGGATCATGCGGTTTGAGACGGAGTTCCCTCCGCTGAACTCCGATGAACGGAGAAGCCGATGCCAGGAGCTGAGTAGCTTGGATTGGATCCGAAGAATGAGAACTTGGCTGGGAACCTCGGAGGGTTTCGTGGTCTCCTCGGTCTGTGGACCGCGTTGTGACCGCGGGGGGACGACTAGGAGGTATCTAGGAGGTCTCTGCAGGTTTCAAAGACCAGGTTCTAGGAGGTATCTGCAGGTTCCAGGTATCTAGGAGGTATCTAGAGGTTCTCTAGTTCGGCACTCTCAGGCTTTCCTGTGGAACGTGACAAACTCTTTCCCAAATGACCAGTTGATATAGTGCAGCAAGCTTCACTACCACGACGGAACCAAGGCACAGGTTCCAATTGATATTCCTTTTCATCAATCGTAGCCCTTTTTGCAATGAGGGTGACTGTGATGTTTCCATAGGCTTCATAGACCCTAGAGTCTACACATGGCACATGGATGGCTGTCCCCCACCTTTTGCTGCAGAAGACATGGCCATTGTTGGCCTCGGCACCTCACCTCACCGACCGTGATACGATGTCGAGCTCTCGATGCCCACCGTCCCGCCCCTGATCGATCCGGGTCTGACTCAGGTGGGAGGGCTTCTCCGCCCGATGGACGTCCGAGGAGGTGGTGTCCTTGAATGAGGAGGAGCGATGGGAGCGATGGGAGCGATGGAGCACCAGAGTGCAGGGCTACAGTGCGATGCGGTACGCGTACTAACTAGGCGATAGCTGCTAACTAGGATGAGTACGAATACTAGGACCCAGGACGCAATGTTGACAATGGGGCATTGGGAGAGCAACTGTAGAATATCTCTTTTGGTGCAATGTTGTGAAATCTGGAACTTTGAGTTTTCAGCAAAACAACGACTTTGACAACATCGTTCCACCACTACGACAACAACAACAACACCAACACCACCACCAACAACAGCAGCAACAACACCAACACCAACACCACCACCACCAACAACAACAACAACACCACCAGCAACACCACCAGCAACAACAACAGCAACAACAACAACGACAACAATCACATTTCAATTATTTTATATTTCGATTATCTGCTTTCAACTGGACTACCATGTACCTTTTGTCTACAATATAGTTTGGATTGCGGGGGACTGTGAGAGTGCAGTCTTCTTGACGTCATTTGTTGCTCAAGTTTTGAACTCTTCACTGACTTGACGGTAAAGATGCTTTGGTTTTAACTCAAGGGCAGCCCATGGAAGGTTCTATTATTATTCAATTGTTATTGTACTTTGTTTCTTAATCTATTTTCTTGTTCTAGTTTAATTGTAACTTGTTTTTGAAGCAAACTTCAACTGGTTCTTTATACAAATCACACTTTATTGTGTTACAATTCAACTTAGTTCTATACTCATTCCAATCTACATATTTCTAATTTGCTTCTATCTTCATTCATTCTTTATTACATTTTGTTCTAGTTGTAATCCAAAAACTTCACATTAAAGCTACCAGTTTAAGAGCAAAATACCCTTTCCAGAATTAACATTGCGTTGTTTAAGAATTAGAATAGAAGTAACGCAGAGCTGAATAATAGTTAAATTTGCTGTGGGTTTCAATTGAGTTCAAGATTGAATTTGAATTCAGTTTGCTTTGAACCAGAAACAACTCAGAATTGTTTTTGAATTGTAACACAACAATTTTTGAATTGTCTAAAAATTGATATGGAACTAAATTTGAAACATTCAAGTACATTGAAGCAATATTGTAGTAAACATTCGATTCAAACAAGAAATAAGTTTCAATTTTACAGGCATTCAGTTAAAATCAAATGGTGCCGGCATTAATGTAGAACTAAACTAGAAACATCTACTCAAATTAGAGTGAGATTAACATTGAACAAAAACAAACTTTATAAATTAGAGTTGTATTAGAATTAAGGTCTGACTCGGGCTAGTTTAAGTCTAAATTGAAAATTCAATTTGTTGAGTTCAATTGGACTCAAACTAGAACTAACTTAGAGTCTAATTAGACTGAAATTAGAATTGAACAAGAAGAAGTTAGAATATATTCAATGAATTTTTGCTTAAAATAGAAATAGATTAAAGTTGTAAAGCAAGTAAACTAGACTTGGATGACCTGAACTTGAATTAAACCAAAAATAAAAATGAAAGGTAGATTTGAAATTGGAGGTAAATTGGAACTGAAAGAGAATTAGGTTAGAACTAAATTATGATTAACGTAGATCTATTCTAAAATTTAGTTAATTCCGAAATTAAATTTCAATGCCATTCAACAAAAAACAATGGAACAATACTCAGGCCTCTCAAGCTGGGGACAAGAAGGCTAGAACTTATTGCCGGAGTCATCAAGTAGAATGCGACTAATCAGGACCAGACCAAAAGCGTGGAGAAAGCACCAAACAAACAACAAAAACAACAAAAATCAAAGAACCAGTTCTCCAGCATTCTTTTGCAGAGAACGTAAGGCATGGCAAAGACCTCCAGAGTGCTTTGTTTCTTGTTTTGTTTTTTTGGAAAACTTTTTGTTTTCTCAAGGTTTTGGCTGTTTTTTGTTCAAGGATTTCGCTGTTTTTGGTTATCTCAAGGTGTTGGTTGCTTTTTGGCTTTCTCATCGCAAATGACATTGAGTTAGCTTTCATATGCACATGGCGTGAAGGCAGACAACAATGGAAAGTTTATATGCAGAAGCCAAGAAAAACTGCGCCCTCACAGCCCCCTGTCTTGATTAAACATCCACCGCCACTTCTACTAGTACTAGTGCTACTAGGTACTCCTGGTCCTACTGCTTCTGCGACTACTACTACTACTACTACTACTACTACTACTACCATTTCCACTACTTCTACTACTACAACCACTACTACTACTACTACTACTACTCCTGCTACTACTACTACTGCTTCTACTACTACTACTACTGCTGCTGCTGCTGCTGCTGCTGCTACAACTACCTACCACTACGACTACGACGACTACTACTACTCCTACTGCTACTGCTACTGCTAATGCTACTGCTACTGCTACTGCTGCTACTGCGACTGCCACTGCTGCTGCTGCTGCTGCTGCTATTCCTACTACTACTACTACTACTACTACTACATCTACTACATCTACTACATCTACTACATCCACTACATCCACTACATCTACCACATCTACTACATCTATTACATCTACTACATCTACTACATCTACTACTACTACTGCTACTGCTACTGCTACTGCTACTGCTACTACTGCTACCGCTGCTGCTCCTAGTAGTGGCGCGTGTACTACTATTGCTACTACTACTACTACTACGACTACTACTACTACTACTACCACTACCACTACCACTACCACTACCACTACTACTACTACTACTACTACGGCTACTTCTACTACTACTACTACTACTACTAATACTACTGCTACTACGACCACCACCACCACTACTACTGCTAGACGAGAGCCACCAACACCACCACGACTGCTGCTTGTGTGGAACAAAATGCTGACCGCAAGGGATGTACATGACATACAACACCCATTTGCTGGGGGTCCGCTCTTTGTCCACTCAATCAAAAGAGAGTATATGGTTTTTGGAGAAAAACTGCCCTTTTCTATGTTGTGGTGGTATGAAGCTGCATGTTTTCTTTCTGCAGAGTGAAAATAGCTTAAGACTGTGAGAGGACGTGGCCCTTCTCAACGAGCAGATGGAGATACTACACACGTCCTCCGAGGCTGAAGTGGCAACACCAAAGTATGGGTCAGAGCCCTGAACTCCTGGGTGACCACTAGACAGAAGGGACTACCTCTGAGGTCAACTGGTGCCGGTTGTTGGGAGACCACAAACACCAGGGTGAAAACAATTAGTATTTATCAAGGTCAACTAAATTGTCCAAAAGTCCAAACCAAACGAACAACTACCATACTACCAGTGAGTAGGTTGAAGATTTCATGGCACTGGCCCTGTTTCGAAACCTTCAGCCTGTCAACCGGCTGATTGCAGCTGACTCCAACTGCAGCAGAGCTCCAGAGAACCTGAAATATGTACGCAAGTGCAACTTGGCGTGTGTTCAATCTCAAATCAGTTGAATCAACCGTAATCAGTAATCACTACTCAAGTAGTCGTATTACTCAAGACTCATAGATAACTCTTCTAAGAGTTGAAGAGGGTGCTGTGGAGTGTACCTGGTTGACACTTGCTGTTCCAATTCCCGTGTGTTTGTTGACCAGCGCACGCAGGAACCGTGACATGTACATTACTCAGTTATGAAAGAATTGTTTTTCATAGCTTGACCAGCCACCAGAGACAGAACCATTACAGCAGGTGAGCTTGTTCTTTTGTGCAGGCTTGTATTGCTTGAGATATGCACCTCATACAACTTGGACTTGACATTAAGTGACAGTGAATATTGGCTCTGGTGAATGTGAGAAAATTACAGTAGATGCTGATTGCCTCAAATTTTGTATCTTGCATGTGTTTGAGGCGGGCGGGGATGTTCATACCAGCGTTGTCAATTTATCAGACCAATAGTCAAAGCCTGTACAGCCTCTCTAGTTCAATACAAGGATGGGACACACTCCCTGATTGAAAGGCAATTGAGATGTGTTGTGTTTCATACAAGCGTGTCGTTAGCCCAAAGAAACACCGATGTGGGGGCCATCAAAAGTGTCGTTGGGTACACTCGGGTTTGCTCACTCCCTGATCAGTCACCTAAGAATCAGTGAGCTGTCACCAATGCTGGAGGTCCCGCAGGGAGGGTTCTCCAAAAGCTGAAAAGAAACATGACTGCCAAGACGGTTTTTCTGGCTCTTCCCGATTCCTGATCCTTCGTTTCGGTGTTTCCTGAGCGAATGTGGTTTCACTTTGGGGTCTCCCGACACCACGTTCTTCACACAGCAGGTGGCCGAAGCCCGGGCTTTGAAGGCGGCGGCTTTAACCGGCGATCCGGCGGGGGGGGAGAGAGAGGTCCACCCCCGTGGGTCCAGAGAGTCGACTTAGTGACATGGGCCAGTCTGGGTTGCAGTCAACAGGCCCTCTGAGTTCGGTCGGCTTGGACGTAAGTGACGTAAGTGACACCAGGCTGAAGAGCGGCTGGATCAAACTGAAGCCCAGTTGAGGTTGGAGCTCCAGGCCGATTGGTCCGGTTGGGGGACGAAGACGGTGGGATGTTGGGGACGAAGCTTGATTGCTTTCTTGGATCAAAAGGGTAAGGCATCTCCAAGAGGGTAAGGCATCACCGAGAAAGTAAGGCGTCGTTTTGCCAATGGAAATTGCCAATCGATCTCCTGGAAACGGTAAGACATCCTTTGTGAACTGTCGTTTAGTGAGGTTTGTGGGTGAAAACCGAGGCCAAACAAAAAACCCTCCAAACTTGGTAGATCGACTTATTTGGTAGAGGATTCTATGAGCTTTCTGTTACCGATAAAACGTTGTGGGCGGTTCAGGGTCACCCTTTCAGCGAGCAAGTCAGGTTTCGCAACCTGGATTCCCTCTGTGGGGGATACAGGAATTGTGTCTTGACTGCCAAAATAGATGTGCTTTCGATGAATCTGTCTTTAACCGAAGCGATTTATCGGCTTGGAACCGGTCCACCGCCAACGAACGCTCGACCGCCGCCGCTGCGCGGCCCATTTACCCGAACTCGGTCGTTCAGCTGCTTGGGGCCAAAGGTGCTCAGAACTTTCGGTGCTCAGAAGGGAAAATAGCTTTCCTCAGCAATCAGAGGGAACTGGAAAACAGAGGACTTCTCCAAGACTGACAGTTTTGAAAAGCGACTAGACTACTCTTTTATTGCTTTCTAACTTCAATACTTCAAGACCGATAAAACATTCAGTGGCGGAGGGCCCACCTAGCAGACCTAGCAAGTGGGGCCCTGGTGTCCCTCCATGTTCTACCTCGATTTTCTACACACAAAGTGACTCACTTTCATGAATTGAATGCAATGCTTTGACGGCTTACGCCCCAGTCTGTTGGCTTACGCCTGTTGACGCACGCCATTTTTTTGAACATCTCTGTCCAAATGGCTTACTTCCGGCCCATAGACGACTCGCTGAAAGATATGGATGACATGTGCATCCAAATCAACAAGTTGGGCCAGGTGGGACCTTGCTGCGTGCGGTCGTGCCCGTCATACCGCGCCGCCCAGTTCGCATGGGGAGTCCTGGGGGATCTCCAGAAAGCCCCAGTTCCTTCACTGCATGTGTCTTCAATGGCTTCTGTGTAAGCCATTCTCTGTGCATCAAAAGCAGTCTCCCACGTGGGACACGTGGCTTTGTGACCGTTCCGTCCAGCCTTCGGAGCTCCGAGGAGCTCGGACGGCGCCGCGTGCTCAGTGAGGAGGGGATCTCTCAGGCTGCAGCTGGGATGGCCATTAGGTGGGTCACAAGGGGTGGAAGCACTTGGGGGGGATGAGAAGTCGACATGTGGATATGCAGAAAGAGTCAAATGATGGACTCTGTGGGAAGTGGTTTCATGATTTTTTCCACCCATAGTGACATAGTGTTGGAGATACACAGATGACCCCATGGACAATTGTAAACTGACGTAAATTATGCATGTTGCAGTTTCTTTGTGGCTTCACAGCTATGGTGTTCAGGGTAACTTGAACCATTTTCGACTCTTAACAGGTATACAGATATATCATATATCCATCAATCATACCATTTTCAACTGGTTTGGGTCACTGAGTACCTGCCGAAAGATGCTCATGGGTGCACTTGACTCAAGGCACGAAAGCGCGGGTCTTGGGGGCCTGCAGCTTGTGGGGCTTGAGGGGTGTCAAGATTTTCAAGCGATGTTCATAGTGGAAGCCCAGTGACAGTGATTTTGCCGTTCCCGACACCGGTGCGTTTGAGCGCGTCTGAGGTAGATTTGGTTCAGAAGATTGGTAGCTGTGTGGCTTGCTCGTGCCCCAGCCACCGAAGAAAAGGAGTTGGGGCTGTCGAGGGTCCAGCCGCAATCCCCCCAGCAAGGAGATTCGGAGTACTAGTCAGAAGCTCTTCCAAATTGAGAGGTACCCACAGAGTTGGTCTAACGAGGCCGAGAACAGACTTGAGCAAATGATTGCATCACTCAGCTAGAAGAACAGACCGACCCAGCCGGAAAAGAGTCCCCCGCCCCTCAGCTGGAGACATGAAGCCCTCTCCCCCCTCGCCATGGCCAGGTACTCCTCCCAGCGGGGCGCCCGCGGGGAAGAGTTCGCGCAGCCCTTCATCGACCGGCGCGTGTCCGAGCGCTTCCGTGCCTTCCACCGGCAGTGGGGGGGTCGGCCTGTTGGCCTGCAGTGGTTTGGATTGACGATCTTCTCAAGAACTAGGTTGAAGACACAAAGAACAAGGCATCCATTTGGAGGTTTCAAACTGATATGTTGAGCGAATGTGCGACCTCACCTGAGTTGACCCAAAGGAGTCTGAAACAGTTTGTGGACATACATGACCAATCACTTGAAATTTGCTGAAGAAGGGTCTTGTTCGACTATGATGGATGGGTTTGCCCCTTTCAAGTTTTTAAGTTCAAATGCATGGTTTACATCGTGGTTGCTAAAACTGCCTGGCTGGGATTGGTGGTGTGTGGGCCGAGTTCGTTTTTGTTGGGGGGGTGGCTCATCTCACAGCTTGCGAACGCCGAGAATGAGACTACTCTCGCTGCCTGAAGATCGACTCTGTCTCCTGGCCTTACGACGAACGGAGGCGCTTCGCTCGCCGAGCTCAGGCGAGCTGCTGCTGACGGGCAATGTTCGCCTCCAGGTGGGGAACAGCGTCCAGCGAGGGTAGAGCGGGCAGAGAGTAGTAGGTCGGGAGGCGTTTTTTTGTTCTTATGTTTTTGGGGCATTCAACGGGGACGAAGAACAGAACACTTGGAAGAACACAAAAATGAATGTCACTTGGGTGACCGCCATGAAGATGAAGATGAACTGAAGAAGAGCGGATGATGAACGAGGGAGTTCTCTCAGTCTTCGTCTTGGCCTATGGCTTCTTCCAGCTCAGGGAGCATGTCGGTCGAGCCGGTCGAGCCGATAGTCGGAGATGGTGGGGTAGGTCGATGGTCTGGGACCTGGGACGTAGGCTTTTTTTCATCAGGGGGGTCGTGGACCCACCATGTGAGCCCGACCAGTGCAGCATTTTCAGATTTTTGCAGCCAGTGACCGAGCGACACGTCGTCCCCGGGGAGAGAGAGAAAAGATCCGTCATGCCCTTTTGCGAAAAAAGATCCGTCTCGTGCCCTTTTGCGAGAAAACGTCTCGTGCCGTGCCTCTCCTGGTTCCAGTGCCATGCCCACCCTCCATCGGCCACAAGGCACAGGTCCTGCAGACGATTCACATCCTCCTGCAGTCGACGCCGAAGGAACCGTGCGAAGTGTAGACAGCCGAACGGGAAGGGAAGTGTCGACAGCGGATACGGGCGGAGGGGGGCCAGGGTGGCGTTTTCGAAGCGTAACGGCAAGGGCAAAGGTTTTGTGAAGAAAACGTGAACAGCGGATCTATTTTGGCAAGTCTGAATTGCAGGGATCAGACGAATCATGCGTGTTTCGTGTCATTTCATGAATGTGATACCAACTTGAGAGATGAGTGCCGTAGCTGGCTGAAGCCAAGAGATATTCAGTGCAGCTGAGGAGTCAATACTTTTCTGCAATCTCACAGCTGGCTGGTATTTGCTGCGAGTCTGCAGCAATATTGAACTCGAAACGTTTTGCTGTCACTTTGTATGTAGCAAAATGGTCGGATACGTCTTTTTTTGGTCGTGCGGCTATGGATTTCGCCTTTCTTCGGTGTGTTTCATAGTTGGTTGTATCATCTCGTTCGCCGCTTTCCTCGTCCCCTAGCCCTCAGGAACCACGTTGTGACGGCCGACTACGATTTCAGCTTCTCAGCGATTTCAGCCGAACACGTCGACGTAGCCAATGCAGGTGGCCAAGGGCCCCGAAAAGGATGGATGACCAATTATTATCCGAACACCGGTGGTGAACTCACTCCACCACTCCACCACTCCACTTCCATGTTAAGTCAGAGTGTGGGAATCGTGGTCACCTTTTAGAGAAAATGTCTACTCACCGTCGGGGGATCGGACTGGTCACTGCTACGACTGCGACGATGGACTGCAGCGATGGACTGCGACGTTTCCACACATTGCATATTGAAGGTGGCCGGCAAGCTTCTATACAACCAAGCTGTTTGGACAGATCATTCTATTGCTTCAAATAGGAGACAGTGGATGAGCCTTTGCTCGCTAGGCCCTTCAGTTCAGTTTCCCATTGTAGTATATGGACTTCGCAAATCAAGGTTTAATTGACAGCCGTACAGTGCAACTCTCAGCTTTAGGGAAGCTCCCGAAATGGTCTGAGCTCAATACCTGAGGCAAGAACGAAGACTTACTCCACCTCTGGATGACAGTAGTCAAAGACATCGCTCTCATGATGGATGGGGTAGCTTGCCTGCACGGAGGCAGATTGTCCAGGTTAGAACCACTATAGTCGACATTTTCCAACACGTACTGCATCCTTCCTTAAGCACAGATGGAAGCAACCACGGTGCAGATGATGTTCTTGTACCTCCGCCGGCTTGCACTTGGTTCGTTTGATGGCAAGGTCCATCCTGTTGCTAAGGGGTCGAACACGGGAGCTGGGAGTCGACTGAGTTGAGCAGACGTTGCTACGACGGCATTCGGTGCCTGTTTTCGGCCAGGAGAATATGATGCTCTTCTTCGATCCCACCTCCAACTGGCCCTTCCCCATCTTCTCCCAGAGCGCGCGCTTTTACCACCATCCGGTGGCGCAGGCACTGAACGGCCGCGGGACATGGGCCGTCATGGGCCGTGAACGTCCTATTCTATTCGTGCTACGACGTTTGCGCAGATAGCTGGAAGGGGAAGCAGTCAGGTCTTCGTGCCACGATTTTTAGGCCTCTTCGAGCAGCACCGTCTCACCTCTTTGGGTGGTCTCACGATGTATTTCGGGAACTTCCCAAGACTCCCCGGACCAAAATCTGGAGGATGGAGCCCCTCACTCATCTTTGGATGATGGAGCCCCTCAACCCATTTGGACCCTTTGGAACACTCAGCTGAAAACTTGGCGCGTAAACCCCGGTGCCCGCCAGGTGCGAACGCAAGTTCAAGCCACCTCCTTAGAGATCTTTA